TAAAAAAAATAATTGTAATATTTAGCATTTTATTTTCTTCCACGTTTAACTGGTTATAACTTTTTTTTTCGAGATTGTTAAACATAAATTGTGGGCTTTTTAGTTAAGTTTTTTTGTATATTACAAAAATTGTTATATAAAATATTGTTTGTATATTACAAACAATATTTTATATCATATTCTGTCAAATTTTATTGACCACAATGGATTATTGACCAGTAAAACCATATAAATCATATAAACTACAAAATTTTAAATGGGACACCCTGTATATTAGAAATATAATGGATAACACATTTTTTTTAATTTCAAAAATATATGGCACATATTCTTTAAGTTTAGTAATTTTATTTAAATTTGATACAGATGTGTAAAAATCGTATATGTAAACTTAATAAGTTCAGCTAAATGGCTAACTTAAAACCAATCAACGAATTTCAATGAAACTATTAAAGAAAAAGAGGAATTAGTGTATATTTTTGAAAATCGGGAAAAATATGGTGTCTAGACACTCCTAATATACGGGGTGTACTATTTAAATAATAGAATCTATATCCACTAATAACTGTCACGTTTGACAGCTTATGACATTTTTGGCAATACGCAATATACATGAACGATTTTTTGGAATTTACAGTTTTTAATTTGAGTTTTCTAGAATGTTCAAATATCAAGATAATTATACAAGATTATGCAAATTAAATTTGCTACTTATTACTAATTTGGTTATTATTAATATTATTAATATATAAAACAAGTTTCTTTAATTTATCTGGTGACAAATTAGATGAATGCTTTATAATTTATTACGTTAATAAATTATATGACTATTAATTAATTAGATGAATGCTAATTTATTGTGGAATGTGATCTAAATGTAAATGTTAATAAGTATTTATACATTAATATTTTTATAAAAAATGTCGCATCATTATTTACTATTATTGTTAATGACAATGTTATTAGAATATTTAAGCAAGGTAGGAGGTAGATATTGTTTTGAACCACTAAAGTAATATGTAAGGATGTTTGTTTTTTTAGTTCAGAATAAAGATTTTACTCCAAAATTTATTGTAAAATTGTAATCAATTTAAACTGCTTGAAAATTTGCCGGAAATTTAACGAATTGTTTAGCAGTTCGCCCACGCATGGCATGTAATTCTCTTCAAATTTATTCCCTATGTACTTCGCCCCAAAAGTAATTTGATCGAAAATTTTTTAAAGATAAGTTTTTGTTTACTATTTATATTTATTAATTTCCATAAATCTTTCCAACTTTATTTTTCTTACGTTTTTTTGTGGAATTTGACAGTTAAAATTTATATAAGACTTTCTTATACTAGTCTTTCAACGACTCGTTATAAATGCCTTTTCTCCATTTTATATATAATTTTTCTTTTTGTCTTTATCTAAAATGCGTCCTTGTTTTATCTGGGTATAGTCTTCCATATTGTCTACATAAATTCTGTATAATTTTACATAAATTATTAGAGCTCTAAACAACAGCGATATGTGTTTCCGTCGATTACCATCTAAAATATAATCCAATAGTATTTCATTAACATTTACATGGACAACATACACTGCGGCGAATGGTGCAGCCAAATAAGGAGCTTAGATGCGCATTTGATGTCAGTGCCATGTCAATCAGAGCAGATTTTTCCCTTCTCTTATCTAGAATCATAGCTAAGAAAACAGTCAGTAAAATACGTTAGGGTTGATACTCTCGGTTATTTAATGCATAAGGCAACAAGTGTATAATTCAAATTAATTTGAATAATTGAATAAAACATTGTACTGTAAATATACCGATCTGGTCATTGAAACTGCGTGGTCTGGGTTTTAACGTGTAAGACAGTGATGTAGACAGCTTGATGAAAAATCAAATGTTTTAAAAATACATTTCTTATATGCGGTATTGTCGGATTTTACATCAAAATTTCAAATCGCACAAGTAGGCGTTTTTGAAAAATTACATCTAGCATCTAGGGTTGGAACAGCAGGGTTGAACTATGGTTGAACTACAGCTGTAATAGATTATATTTAGCTTAGATATGTTATCTTCATTTCAGTAGTATACATGAAAGTTTTTAAAATGGTTTATTTTTTTACAAACATTTTTTACACACCTAAAAGCGATAAAAACCAGCAACACATTATGCTGCTTTTTATTTTGCCTCTTTATCTTCCAACCGGCCATTTATATTTATTTCTGTCGCATATTAAAATGCAAACCACGCAGATGAAGTGTCCAGAATGGTATCTATAAGGCTGTGAAAATATAAAGGTTTGTATAAAGTTTATATAATCGCTTAATTGATTTATACTTATTGATTATGATAGTAACAGCACAGCCTATTTCTAACCAGCCTGCTGACTTAATCTCCATAATCACTATGCACTAGTGCGACCATGCGTCGTCCAGTGACGTAACTATCGACGTGCCGTGTGTGCGAAGCACACGGGCCCGGGCCGCATTTCCATATCTATCACATACTATCGCGAATCAAGTAGAATCGGGCGATCCCGATCTAAGTTTTTATCTATCACATGTCTTCTTAACTACTTAACTAACACACGCTATCGCGAAGATAACTTATTACTTTACACTTGTTCTTGTGCAATTTTGTAGCTGTGTTTTCCTTTTTATTTTGCAAAATAAAAATAACTGGAAATATGTGATTTTTCATTAGAGCATTAAATTTGATAAAAAAGAAAATTTGCTGTATTGTCACTGGATTTCTGTACCATCGAATAGAAATAGAACTAAGCTAGTTGTAGCATCAAAAAGAGCATGTAAAATTATACTGGCCAAACTAGTTAACTCAAAATCACAAAAACTCTAGTTACCTAATGGTTGTATTAAGGGGACGATAAAAAAGCTGAGTTACGAGAGGTGCCCGAAACTGCCACTTTTTTAAAATCACCCTGTAGCTCAGTAACTAAGAGGGCCATGACAAATCCTATTAGGGCATCAATCATATGTCTCTCATTTTGTCGAAAAGTAGCCGACTATTGTGAAAACATATTCATAAGAGCTACAAAACACATGAAAATGGGACACCCGGTACAAGGTATTCAATTCGTAAAAAAATATCTTATTATCGCACCCTGCATACAAGGGGCATAAAAAAATTGCTATAGCACTTAAATTCAATTTGTTCTTGCTTTAAATAATATCACAATTACCTGTGCTGGTTATGACGGCAATTCCCAATACTTCTTTCTTAACATGTTAACAGACATTGTTTATTTTAATTTAGTTAGTTTTGTTGTTGTTTTTTGTTTTGTTTATATTTATTTTTTTATTTATTTGATATTTTATGTTTTGGGTTACATATTCTGTGTTGCAGTAATAAATAATACTATATAAAAATTAATTTGATAATGTTATTTCTAACCTAAAATATGAGTGCATATTATTCAGATTAGTATATAAGTATTGAAATATGTAGGTGTAATAGGGGGGCCCGGTAAAATTTTTGCACACAGGCCCGTGAGTCTGTTGTTACGCCACTGGCGTCGTCAATGAACGCACAATAAGCATGGTGCGGTTCGTCCATTCGATTCGTTAGTTCGTTTGGAAATTTGTCCAGTGTGTTTGTAATATTTCTTTTGAAGGTTTGCCAAAAAACGATATTCCGCCGAACCGCCGTATAACCCAACGTATCAATGCATTAGCGCATTAAATCGACGTATTGCCGAATCGCAGCGACGACGCGACGAACCGCATTAGCGCATAGTGAGTATGGGGCTTTACAACCATATGCATGGAAATATGCGCACCTGCCTGTTGTTTAAATTAATTATGTGTATTATTATCATATTATTGGCTTATATAATGTTATTTAAGAAGTCTGATTCTGAGCTTCATTGAAACTATCGAGAGTTGTGGTACTGAATAAACACCAGGTGATACTGAATAAGCTGTCGTCGCAGTTTGATAAATTCCTTTTATATATTTTTACTTCAAACATCCGGAGGAGGTATACCCACCGAGTCGTTGAGTGTTTTTAAAATCACTGAAAAGCTTGTGATAGACAACTTTTATTGGGCCAAAATAAAACTAATTCACCATATATATTATACACCAAAAGACTTTACCTTTTAACACAATTTTAGCTTTGCTATCATCTACAATCATATGTTGATGATGCTAACATGGCTACCGAAACATGCGTCCAATGTTAAAAATAAAGTGTTTCGGTGTATTGTGGTGAATTAGCGTTTTATGCTGTTGTAGAACCAAAGGTTTCGATCCTCAACTGTAACAATCTTTATTATTGGACGTTCGAAAAAGTTTAGGTAAAATCAGCTTTTGTTTTGCGAGTGCTGACAAAAAAACAGTCTCTATGAATACAAAAATCTGTGTGACTAGGTGAAGATGACCCGTTGGTAATGAAGCTGTGGTAACACTTTGATATATCACTTTTATTTCTTTTTTCATTAAACATCTGGAGGAGATATAACCTCTTAAACGTTGAGTGTTTTTTAAGTAGTTAAAATTTGTGAGACACAACTTTTACTATTGAGTTTTTGAAAAAAGTGTCGGCAAAAGCGACTTAGCATGTCCAATAACTAAAAATAATAATTTTGATACAAGTCATGCGAGTGCTGACAAAATAAAAGAAATCTTCAGTCCTTTTAAAAATACGACAAAACACAACAAAACATGTAAATGACAAAACATTGAAAAATGTCACTGAGATTTTTGTTCTCAATTTGATGTTACGCCTTTTAATCAATTTATGAAATAATATCAATGAGCTTTTTGAGCGTTTTTCGCAGATAAAATCAATGAGATGACTCAAAACTCAAAAATTAACTCACATAAATAATTAATAACCTCTTGTTAATCTTCTGAAGGTCAGTGCTGTCTGTAGGAGTTCTTTTTATCCTATACTTAAAGTTTTCAGCAGAATATTTTAGAGCAAATATCTTCTAAACAATAGTTTAAATTAATTATGTGTATTATTATCATATTAATTGTATTTTTTTCTTTTCAGATAATGTGCGGATACAAAATGAGCGCCGACGGCCTGCCATTAGCGAGGCAGGAGCGCGGAGCCCGAGACTACGAGGACATCCTCGCCGGACACGACTTCCTCTCAGTATTTCTTCGATCCTACGCAAGAAGAGAAACCAGCACAGAGCCTGAAAGACCCTCAACCTCCGTCAACGATGCCATCATAACCGAACCCTACATGCGGGCCACCAGAAAGGCCGACTCTTACTTCGAACAAGTGCCAATAACCACCGAACAGCAAACCAATAACTTAAACACCAGTGACTCTAACTCTAGTGACGATGTGATAATAGCCGTACACGTGTCTCAGTCGGTAGGACAAAGTACTTTAAGAGTACCGGTTACGGAGAATAATTTACGTGAACTTACAACCACTCAAAAGGTCGAAGAAATCTTTCTTTCCGAAGAGCATCCTAATATAGTAGCGAAATCTAGTAAAAGTGAATTAAATATAGAAGAACCTGAACCGATTACTACAGATAATAAAGAAAATGATTTTAAATCGTCCGACAACTTTCAGGCTTCAGTTCAAAGTCTCCCTCAATCTCAACACCCTCCTTTCGAACAACCTAGTTATATTAATAAGCAGAATAGCGAAAATGTGGCACCGTTCCATCATAGTTTTATCTATCACGATGATCCTAAAGAGCCCGGAAGAGCCAGATCAGTGTCCTACAGTACGATAATTCAAGCAATTCCACACTCGAACAACCAAGAAATCCACGAAAGAAAAGAAAGAAATTATGACACAGGAATAGGATACAGAAATAGCTTTGATACGCCAGATTCTAAAAAAGATTTACCTAAAACTCACACGAATAATATTCCGACAAGCACCAGTACTACACAGAGCACTACTTCTTGGGAAATACCTCTTAGACCCACGCAGAGCAGTGTTTCGTCAGACTTGAATTCTAAAAAATCTTACGATACTGTTACTCCAAAACTACCACGTGTATATGGTAGACCCGAGCAAAACTATGAAGTTGACGAAGCCGTTAGTGTAGTTACTAATGGAAGAGCTCACGGAATCCAAGATGATCAGCTGCTTTCGAAGAAGAAAACTGAAGATGACAAAGACCAAAAGTTCGGGTACGTTGTTGAAGGGAGGAACTACCGAAAATACAGAGTTGAAGAACGAACACCTGACGGTTTTATAGTGGGAGAATACGGAGTTGTTAGTCATGACGATGGTTCTCTACGAGGCGTTCGATATACAGCTGACGGTACCATCAACCCGCGACTTATTTATGACGCTTTAATGAAGTTCTTATCGTTATGAAACCGTTCGAATAGTCAATTTTTCGGAGAGTTGTGCACTGATTAATTTTAGTTCCTCTTCAGCTCTATTTTAATTAACTCCGACAGTTAATTAAAACTAGAGCGGGAATAGCTCTGTCCTCTTTTGGCGTAGAGACAATAATATGAACTTTAATTTGAAAATATTGTTTCCGCTAAAAGAGCCAGTATTTATTGATTGTCTGTAATTTGGTCTTTGTATTTCATACTCGTGTATTATATATAAAGTGGTATTTAATGTATTTTCTGATTGATAAATTGCTCATTATCTGTAATTGAATATTGCTCGCTAGATAGTAATTCAGATCTTTTGTACTTATTTAATTTGCTAAATAATTTAATATTAATAAAATATTAATAAAAAGAAAAAATACATGTAAGGTTTTTATTTTGCACCTATTAACAACTTCTACTAACAACCATGGATCTTAGTTTTTAAGACAAAGAATATTAAAACTAATGATTGTATTAGAAGGCCATGCTCTTCACATAGTACGCTAATATTATAGTAGGGAAATATAGCAAAAGTAAATTAAATATAGAAGAACCGGAACCAATTACTACGGATAACAAAGAAAATTATTTTAAATCGTCGGACAACTTTCAGGCTTCAGTTCAAAGTATCCTTCAATCTCAACATCCTCGTTTCGAACAACCTATTTATATTAATAAGCAGAATAGCGAAAATGTGCCACCATTCCATCGTAGTTTTATCTATCACGATGATCCTAAAGAGCCCGGAAGAGCCAGATCAGTGTCCTAGAGTACGATAATTCAAGAAAGAAGAAAGAAAAGAAAGAAATTATGACACAGGAATAGGATACAGAAATAGCTTTGATACGCCAGATTCTAAAAAAGATTTACCTAAAACTCACACGAATAATATTCCGACAAGCACCAGTACTATACAGAGCACTACTTCTTGGGAAATACCTCTTAGACCCACACAGAGCAGTGCCTCGTCAGATTTAAATTCTAAAAAATCTTACCATACTGTTACTCCAAAACCACCACGTGTGTATGGTAGACCCGAGCAAAACTATGAAGTTGACGAAGCCGTTAGTGTAGTTACTAATGGAAGAGCTCACGGAATCCAAGATGATCAGCTGCTTTCGAAGAAGAAAACTGAAGATGACAAAGACCAAAAGTTCGGGTACGTTGTTGAAGGGAGGAACTACCGAAAATACAGAGTTGAAGAACGAACACCTGACGGTTTTATAGTGGGAGAATACGGAGTTGTTAGTCATGACGATGGTTCTCTACGAGGCGTTCGATATACAGCTGACGGTACCATCAACCCGCGACTTATTTATGACGCTTTAATGAAGTTCTTATCGTTATGAAACCGTTCGAATAGTCAATTTTTCGGAGAGTTTGTGCACTGATTAATTTTAGTTCCTCTTCAGCTCTATTTTAATTAACTCCGACAGTTAATTAAAACTAGAGCGGGAATAGCTCTGTCCTCTTTTGGCGTAGAGACAATAATATGAACTTTAATTTGAAAATATTGTTTCCGCTAAAAGAGCCAGTATTTATTGATTGTCTGTAATTTAGTCTTTGTATTTCATACTCGTGTATTATATATAAAGTGGTATTTAATGTATTTTCTGATTGATAAATTGCTCATTATCTGTAATTGAATATTGCTCGCTAGATAGTAATTCAGATCTTTTGTACTTATTTAATTTGCTAAATAATTTAATATTAATAAAATAATAATAAAAAGAAAAAATACATGCAAGGTTTTTATTTTGCACCTATTAACAACTTCTACTAACAACCATGGATCTTAGTTTTTTAGATAAAGAATATTAAAACTAATGATTGTACTAGAAGGCCATGCTCTTCACATAGTACGCTAATATTATAGTAGGGAAATATAGTAAAAGTGAATTAAATATAGAAGAACCGGAACCAATTACTACGGATAACAAAGAAAATTATTTTAAATCGTCGGACAACTTTCAGGCTTCAGTTCAAAGTCTCCTTCAATCTCAACACCCTCGTTTCGAACAACCTATTTATATTAATAAGCAGAATAGCGAAAATGTGCCACCATTCCATCGTAGTTTTATCTATCACGATGATCCTAAAGAGCCCGGAAGAGCCAGATCAGTGTCCTAGAGTACGATAATTCAACCAATTCCACACTCGAACAACCAAGAAATCCATGAAAGAAAAGAAAGAAATTATGACACAGGAATAGGATACAGAAATAGCTTTGATACGCCAGATTCTAAAAAAGATTTACCTAAAACTCACACGAATAATATTCCGACAAGCACCAGTACTACACAGAGCACTACTTCTTGGGAAATACCTCTTAGACCCACACAGAGCAGTGCCTTGTCAGATTTAAATTCTAAAAAATCTTACGATACTGTTACTCCAAAACCACCACGTGTGTATGGTAGACCCGAGCAAAACTATGAAGTTGACGAAGCAGTTAGTGTAGTTACTAATGGAAGAGCTCACGGAATCCAAGATGATCAGCTGCTTTCGAAGAAGAAAACTGAAGATGACAAAGACCAAAAGTTCGGGTACGTTGTCGAAGGGAGGAACTACCGAAAATACAGAGTTGAAGAACGAACACCTGACGGTTTTATAGTGGGAGAATACGGAGTTGTTAGTCATGATGATGGTTCTCTACGAGGCGTTCGATATACAGCTGACTGTACCATCAACCCGCAACTTATTTATGACGCTTTAATGAAGTTCTTATCGTTATGAAATCGTTCGAATAGTCAATTTTTCGGAGAGTTTGTGCACTGATTAATTTTAGTTCCTCTTCAGCTCTATTTTAGTTAACTCCTACAGTTAATTAAAACTAGAGCGGGAATAGCTCTGTCCTCTTTTGGCGTAGAGACAATAATAAGAACTTTAATTTGAAAATATTGTTTCCGCTAAAAGAGCCAGTATTTATTGATTGTCTGTAGTTTGGTCTTTGTATTTCATACTCGTGTATTATATATAAAGTGGTATTTAATGTATTTTTTCTGATTGATAAATTGCTCATTATCTGTAATTGAATATTGCTCGCAAGATAGTAATTAAGATTTTTTGTACTTATTTAATTTGCTAAATAATTTAATAATAATATTAATAAGAAGAAGAAATATATATTAGGGTTTTTATTTTTCCTATTACCACCTCCATGTATCATAGTTGTTAAGACAGAGAATATTAACACTTGTCTATATAATATGGATCTATCAGAATATGCCATATTCTTCATAAATATTGGATTTCAATTTGCTAAACAATTTAAAAATAATAAAACTCAAAGTATATTAGAATTTTAATTTATCAAAAATATCTTGTACGTACTCCTATTTAGTTAGGACAATGGAATTTAAATACTGTATGATAAAAAAATGGCGTCAGCGATGGCTATAAAATGAAGTTCGCTATCTTTTAACGTACAAAATTATATGGGAAATGTCATCGATTGTCATTTCCAAGCCAACTGGACGCCGTTTTTTTTTTCGATCATATGGCATAATGATTACTTAGATTAGCTAACGCAGACTAAGCACATAAAAAGTACTAAACTATTTTCTTTATTTAAAATCAAAATTCGGAAAGAGCGAAAGTCAAATCTTGTCTTTTATTTTCAAAAAACACAATTTTATCATTAAATAACTATTTTAGGTATTTTATATATTATTATGATAACAGGCAAAATGCTGTGTTCAAAATGGGTGTCAAAATAGATGTTCAATTATTTAAAATAGTGGAGAAAAAAAACACATTTAGTTTTGCCTCATCCTGTATATATCAAACAAGACAGTAATTTTTGATAAACTGAACTTTGAAGAAGACACCGTACTTCTCGTTAACAGTATATACAGTATATCCTTATACAATACTTCTTGTTAAACATTTTTAAAATTCTTTGAATCTAGAATTTTGAGAGGGCTATAAATATGCAGTAAAATTAGTTTAAATGGTTATATTTCAAAAACCACTAGGCATATTATATGATATTATGGTATTTTTGGAACGGAAATTTCATGGCAAACCAACTGGGCTAAAAATCTATAGTAATCCGTTTAAAATTAAACAACTGTAGTTTGAAAATATGTTATGAAGAAAGTGGAATAATGGGAGAGAGGTTAATCACCGCAAAAGATCTATTGTATTCTAAGTTATCCGTAACGTAGAGGCTGGAGGATCTGTCTGTTTTCTCTACCTCTTTAACTTGTTCTCTCTTTAGACCTGCTACCGGTGTTGTCTCCAATCTATAATAGAGGATATATCCTTTTGTAGATTTTCTTGCAGTGCAGTGGCGAAATAGCCATAAAGGATTTTTTTTTGGAGAAATAAAGGACTGCTGAGATTTATCTTCTTCTGAATTTTGTGTTCAGTAGTACAATAACGATTGTCCGGTAATTTTCATTCGATCCAAAAAAATTAAAAAAAACGCCTTATGTTGGATTAACACATGTACAAAAGAGAAAAATTATTGCTCTCATTGAAGAAGGAATGCCCCAAAGAGACGTAGCAAAGATAGAAGTCTTTACCCAGGGTGTTATATCGAAATGATAAAAAAAACAACGCTTTATTGTACAAAAAGCCAAAACAGCTTCATCGACAAAGCAAAACAAAAAAAAAGCACAAAAACAAACATACAAATAATAAAAAAATGTCATACAATACAAATCAATTTGAAAAAAAAATTTACGTCATAAAATTACAAATAAAACATATATGGACATTGCAGAACACAGGCGTATCTAGAAAATTTTACAAAAGGAAAACTGTAAATGGATAAAATCATGTTATAATAACATAAAATCAAGAGTTATAAAATATTAAATACTAGACCTTTAACCAGTGTGTGAGATGATCAAAATATTAAAATTAAAATTCTAAATTGTTCATGATTAAACATCAACAAAAAAGTCGTTTACCGCATATAGGGCTCTTATTATTATACATTTTCTTGGCATTGTACAATATTGAGCCTTTAACTAGTTCTGAGCTCGGGGCTGGCAGATAAATATCGTGCTCCGCATTCCTAAGCGGATAGTTGTGAGAAGGCCTTTCCCGAATAGAGAATATGTGCTTACGGATTAAGCAAACGGATTCAAAAATGAATAAGGAAGAAAGAGTCAGTATTTTGAAATTTTTAAAGAAATTCTGGCAGTGAGTTCTACTGTTTAGTCCCAATAAGTATCGAACTGCTCTCTCTTTTGAAGTTTGAAAATACGATAAAATTTTGTCGCGCAGCAAGTACCCCAGAATGGAAGGGCATAACGAAGATGTGACTCAAAAAGGGCATAATAGACCATTCTAGAGGTTGATGAGTTAAGTTCCTTAGACACTGATCTTAGCGCAAAACAGGCAGAGCTTAGTTTCTTTGATAAGGCTTCGATGTGCAAGTCCCATTTTAACGAGTTGTCCACAACAAGTCCTAAGAATCTCACAGAGTCCACGACGTCAATAGTAGTGTTATTAAGTACAAAAGGTTGTATAATACTTTTATATGACAAAACTTTAGTTTTTGAAAGGTTGAGGCATAGGAGATTAGAATCGCACCAAGATTTAATGGTGCGTAAGTCACTGGATATAGTATCATATAGTGCCGTAACATCTGAGCCGCTCCAAATGAAACTAGTATCGTCCGCAAAGAGGCAGATTTTACCGCTAATGTCTAGATTTGCAATGTCGTTGATAAACACCAGAAATAAAATAGGGCCAAGTACTGAACCCTGAGGGACACCACATTCTATAGGCTTACAAGAAGACATAGACGTATCAATCCTCACAAGCTGCCTTCTGTTGCCAAGATACGACTTAAGCCATTCGAGCGGCCCTCCCCTGAATCCATAGTATTGCAATTTGTTAATTAAGATATTATGATTTACACAGTCGAAAGCCTTAGAGAAATCACAGAAAATTGTAGCTGTAGAGTGATGGTTATTCAGGCTAGAGTATACATTATTAAAAAGGTCGAACATAGCATCATTTGTGCAACTGTTACTTAGAAATCCAAATTGATGGGTAGAAAGTACTTTATATTTAAGGAGAAAAGATAGAAGCCTTTTATAACCAATCTTTCAATGATCTTAGATAATGTGGGCAGGAGAGAAATTGGGCGATAGTTCGAAGCTTGATCTTTATCTCCTCCTTTATGCAGAGGAATAATTATTGCTGTCTTAAGGCAGTTTGGAAAAACACCTTTCTGGAATGACTCATTAATTAAAGTAGTAAGATAGATTAATGTGCATTCCGGAAGTTCAGAGAACATTTTGAGAGTAAGCCCATCAGTCCCAGATGAGAATTTATTTTTAATACTTTTAATTGTACTACGGAGCTCATCTAATGCTACGGGCGTGAAGAAGAAACTGTGTAAATTCTCATTTGCTTTAGGGAGATATGCAAGATACTTGGAATTAGGAAGATACAAGAACAGGCCCAGACAAATTCGTCAAAGAGTCACAATTGACCAACAAGACCGTCTTGTGTGCGAAATTGCTAAAATAAATCCGAAGATTTCTCATCCAGAACCACAAAGACAGCTTCTGGCAGCTACAGGTGTTGAAACCATAAGAAAATGGGTTCATGCTCGAGGGCTTTACAGCAGGAGAGAGTTACGGATTCCATAGTTATCGGCAAAATAAAATTGACCGGCTAAATTGCCTTCAACATCAAAACTGGACAACTGAGAATTGGCAAAATGTT